TGTTCTGTCATTACAAATATTTAAATAAATACTATAATGAAATATATCAAATTAGGTAGCCTACTTGCCTGTATTGCCCTTCATTGTTCTGTGCTTTGCTTTATATTGAAAATAGGAAGGGATAAAATCATTGTGTAGATTTTGTTGCAAAATATATACCAAAAACATTATCTTCATAGCCTGGTGACCTTTTGATTTATTTTTATAACAAAATATAGGACATTTATTTATCTTAAGCGCAGATTCCACATGCGCTGTTGAGGAAACAAAACAAAGCCTCGAATAAGGATTATGTCATACAGTAAACTACATGTAATGCTTTATGTGAACAGCAGAGGCCGCGCTTCACCTGTAGTAAAATGCCATTCGAGCGCGATTTAACCCTGCCTGCTCTAATACTGTTTTAAATAATGGGTCACACACACAGCATTCTAGCTTAACACATTTTTTTTTAATTCATAGAAACATAATCCTGCTGCACTACTACACTTGATTTTGGTTTTATTGTAAATGAAAAGCAAGAAAGCATGTATATATAAGGCTGATATTTTAGAAATTATGGGATGTGTTGAAAAAAACGCATTGAGTGTGTTAACTAGCGACATTAGGAGTTAAGAAATGCAATCCAAACATTTTTTCTTGGTAAAACAGTTACAAAAGGGTTATGCTAAACGTTGTTAAAATGCATTTATTACCACATTTGACCAAAAACGGTGTGAATATATAAGAAAATGATTCTCCATAAAAAAAAATAAATAAATAAATAAAATAAAAATAAAAAACAGTCGACATCAACAAGGTTAATGTGCGGACGCATTTTTATTCGATTTAATATAATAATTATTTAATTGAATATTGAAATAATAAATAGATTTGGTCTAATTTGATATTAAGTTTTAAATGGATGTATAAAATCAAAAGTACTACTGAGCACGCCAAATGCATTTTTTTTTCATGAAGCTTTCACTGAGTTCATAGAGTTCATACGAACAAAGATACTCTTGAGTCATCGCCAAGTTCTTGCGTTACTTCTCACTCTTACTGATTTAATCACTATGAAAACAGAAATCTGTCGTTTACAAATAATTTCATCACAAAAAAAGTTTTTTGGTTTATTTTTCGCTTCAATTTTCGTTTGGAAATGTCGGTCAGTAAGGCAAAAGGGCGGAGACCAGTTTGTCAGTCAAGCTGCTGTTGCCATATTTACAACTCGTCATCCTTTGTGATTGGTCGCGCCCCCTAACCTCTCCACAATGGAGCGATGTGATTGGACGAGGTTTGTTACTGGGTGCTGTGGGGTGACAACGTTGAGAATTGGTGTTGTGTAACTGTGTCGTCACTTCGGTTCATGCAGGCTATGTAACGACTGTTTTGTTTTGTCAGTTTTCCCTTTAAAAGTGTTATTTTCAAAACCAAAACAGATCTTTAGAACTTTCTTAATTCTGCTGGAATATTTTATTTATTTAAAAAGGTTTCTTAACAAGATATACTCTTATTGACTAATTAATTGATACATTAATAAGAAATTAATTTATAAGAAATTAGTTTCTTTTGTAAAGAAATATGAGATCTTTCATGTATCCTGGTTCCTGACCAATCTTCCCCTTTATCCTATGTGAATATTATGTAAAAGGGTTATATTTGTTTATTGTATCCCTAATACTCCTTTCATTAAAAAAAGAGCTGAAACTGCAAATTAAAAATGATTGCATTATTACTTTATTCATGGTTTACACGTTGTGTTACAACTGTCTGCATGGGTTTGCCATGTTTTGTTGCCATTATATAAATTTTTTATTGTTTTATGTGACCTATATGGTGAACCACATGCAGTGTTTTCTGTGCTTTTAAGACATTTAAAAAGGTCTTAAATAAAATACTTAAATTTAATTAGATATCTATTGGCCAATGTTTTTGTTCAATAGAAAGGTAACAAAACAAACTGTACATTCTTACTACAAATGTTTATTAAATAATATGGAATATTGCAGGTAGTATCGCATACAGGAATACTGTCCATTTAACAGAAATAACATCAATAACATTTATTCATATATCAACAATAAATGCAAATTTGAATACACAGTACATTCATATAGATAGTGATATATATGTACAAATTTACAACAGTAAGGAGTAAGTACGAGATGAACTGATGCAAAGACTTTGGCAAAGGGAGTAAATACATATCGGGAGACATAACTTATATAAAAAGTAAACAAGAATTC